TCAAGAGTCAGATGCTCAACTGACTGAGCCACCCAGGCAGCCCTTATTTTTTTATTTTTACTTTTTTTAAAGTTTATTACTTAAGTAATCCCTATACCCAACGTGGGGCTTAAACTCATGATACCAAGATCAAGAGTTGCATGCTCTTCTGACTGAGCCAGGCAAGCACCCCACCAAAACTTGTTTTTATACATCAAAAACACAAATTTTTTTTTTAAATTTTTTTCAACATTTATTCATTTTTGAGAGTGAGAGAGACAGAGCATGAGTGGGGGAGGGGCAGAGAGAGAGGGAGACACAAAATCCAAAGCAGGCTCCAGGCTCCGAGCTGTCAGCACAGGGCCTGACGTGGGTCTCGAACTCACCGACCGCGAGATCATGACCCGAGCTGAAGTCGGACGCTCAACCGACTGAACCACCCAGGCGCTTCCCCAAAAACACAAGTATTTTATAGGTACATAATTCCAAAGTACTAAAAAAATGATTGGGTGCCTTTCCTCTGTGCTCCTTCTGCATCCTACTCTGTGATGTAATTTCCTGCTTCTTTGTTAAAATCCCCAGTAGACTCTAAGGTCCCTAAGGCAGAGATGGTGTTTTGTTCGATGTTGCATTCCCAGCACACAGGAGAGCGTGTGGCGTGTGGTGGTCACACAGTACAATTTGTTGACTGCAGGGGTGGACAGATGATGAAACCACCTGTTCTTATGCTCTGGGTAAAAAAATCACAAACCACCAATATCTGTCGTCAGACTTCAGTGGTGTCTACTCCAAAGCAGTGTCAATGTCCCCACTGATTTTAATGTTTCCCTGCTCCTGGTGGCATTGACAGGGAAGAGTGACATAGGGGGCTATTGTATTCTTCAGCCTGTGGGACAGATGTGCTAATTGGAAAAATCAGAGAATCTACAACAAAGAGTCAAAGATGGAACAGAATAGAGAGCTCAGAAATAAACTCATGAATATATGGTGCATTAATTTTTTACAAAAGAGCCAAGCATTTACAACAGGGAAAAATGGTCTCTTCAATAAACAGTATTGGAAAAACTAAATGTCCACATGCAAAATAATGAAACTGTACCCCTATCTTGTATCATACACGAAAGTCAACTCAAAATGGGTTAGAGTTATACTTAAGACCTGCAACCATCAAACTCCTAGAAGAAAACACAGGAGGTAGGCTCCTTGACAATGGTTTAGGCAATGACTTTTTGGATTTGATCCCCAAAGCAAAAATAAACAAGTGGGACTAGAGCAAACTAAAAAGCTTCTGCACGGCAAATCATCAATAAAATCAGAAGGCAGGGGCACCTGGCTGGCTCAATCCGTAGAGCATGTGAACCTTGATCTCAGTGTTGTGAGTTTAAACTCTATGTTGGGGGTAGAGATTACTTAAAAAAATTTTTTTGAACCTAAAAAAAAAAAAACAAAATCAGAAGGAAACCTATGGAATAAGAAAATATTTGCAAATAATATTATTCAGTCTTAAAAAAGAAGGAAATCCTGCCATCTGTGACAACATGGATGAAATTAGAGGGCATCGTGCTGAGTGAAATAAGCCAGACAGAAAAAGACAAATACTGCCTGGTATCACTTATGTGTGGAACTGGAAAAAAAAAAAGGTCAAACTCATAGAAACAGAGAGTAGATTGGTGGTTGCTGGGGAGTGGAGGGAACAGGCAGAAGATGGTAAAAGACCATAAACTTTCAGTTATTAAAGAAAAAAAATGGTAACTATGTGAAGTGGTGGGAACTCAGTGGTGGGAACCTTCTCACAGTGTGTACAGATATCAAATATCACATTGTACACTTTAAATATATTACCCCCCAAAAGTGTTTTTTTAACGTTTATTTATTTTGAGAGCAAGCAAGAGAGAGACAGAGTGGGAAAGGGGCAGAGAGAGAGAGAAGGAGAGAGAATCCCAAGCAGGCTCCCCACTGTGAGCCCAGAGCCCCACTCGGGGCTCAATCTCATGAACTGTGAGTTCATGACTTAAGCCAAAATCAAGAGTCAGGCGTTTAACCAAATGGGCCACTCAGGCGCTCTGTGTAGGAGTTAAAAGTTTTGACACATTCTCCATGTGGAAGTTAAAAAAAAAAAAAAAAAAAAAGGTCAGGCAAAACTACTACCTCATTCAACCTCGGTTTTTCATTTCTCATCGCTGAAGAACTGGCATTCTCTGAATTTCTGAAAAAGGTAGGCTGTTTTTGCAGGGTAGAAGAAGCAAACCCTGCCCTTTCCTGGAAGGACTGAGTGCAAAGAGAATATTTTTCAATTGATCCATTGCAATTAATCTACTTATAATTGACCCAATCCACCCAACAGTAAAATGCCCACATCGGAAAGCATTTTCATCTTTAGGAAACAGTGGCCGCTGGGAGAAGACTGGGAAGGAGCCAGCCTGGACGAGGCCTGACACCTCGGCCACGCAGCAATCCTGGGCTAGCTCCAGCCACCACTTCTCCAGCACCCCCGTTTCTTCTGGAAATCCAGACATGGCCAAAATCCAGACCAGAGTGCCATGGCAGAGGGTAGTGCAGGGGCCAGGGTGGAAATCTGCTCAGAGATGTCCAGAGGACCCATGGAAGAGCTCTGAATTCAAAATAGCTTCCCTCTACCCCATTCCCCATTCCCTTTCTGGTTGAGAGTAAACGTTAACCCCCTGTCCTGCTCCCACTCTGGAATTCTCTTTAACCAGACCACAGAAGTAGGCAACAGAGCCTTCTTACCAGGGCATCTTCTGTTAACTTTAACTCCTGCATCAAATTATTTTTCTGATACTGTTCATTTCGCTGTTTCCTAGTCTCAAGTGGCTTCTTTTTTTTCTTCTTATACATCTTCTTCTTTTGATTCAACTGTTGCAAAAAGCACAGAGAACCTAGTCGTTGAGGATTCCGGAGGAAATGACCACCTGCGTGCAGCACTCTTTTACACAACACTCAAGACAGGAGAGCTGCCCCGGGACATGGGCCCTCACGGTGCCCAACTGCTGCTGGCTCAGAGGATGAACAGTTCAGTTGCCTTGTTACCAGAGTCCACTCCCCATTTAACACCCCCAAATCCCACTATTGCAGGTATGCTGCCAAAGGGACACCTATATCAATATCCAAATATCTGTGCTTTACAATATGAAACCAGATTACTTATGGCAATAATGTCAGGTACAGACAATACTGATATTGGGTGTGTAGTTAAGAGTCAGTTTGGCTGTTACACAAGGTGGCTTTAATAATTAAGCAAGTGAAGCTCAGGACTGATTTTCCAGGGACCTGTTGAGTGGTGACGCTTATATTGATGTTGTAAATCCAGCTGAAAAAATTATAGGGTCCAGTCTGATTTGGCAGGTTCCATCTGACACAGCCTTAATCTCACCCTATGAGAGAGTTATTTCTTCTTCTTCCTTTTTTTTTTTTTCTTTTTGAGAGAGAGTGAGTAGGGAGTAGGATAAAGGGGCAGAGGGGGAGAGAGAGAGAATCTTAAGCAAGCAGATCCTAAGCTCAGTACGGAGCCTGATGTGGAGCTCAATCTCATGATCTTGGGATCATGACCGAGGCTGAAATCTAGAGATGGACACTCAACTGACTGAGCCACCCAGGCGCCTTGTATGATGGAGGTATTTATTAATGCAACTATGAAATTATGTGCATAATGAACCACAACAAATATATCATCTATGTAATAAGATCTGTGAATGAGATGGAGCAAAGAAAATTTAATATATGGAAATATAAAAAACTATCTAAAACTATATGAATAAAAAAACACTTTTTGGGGGCACCTGGTTAGCTTAATTGGTTAAGCATCTGACTCTTGATTTTGGCTCAGCTTATGATCTCACGGCTCATGGGATCAAGCCCCGACTCGGGCTCCAAGCTGACAGTGCAGACCCTGCGTGGGATTCTCTCCCTCCCCTTCTCTCTGCCCTTCTCCTGCTTATGTTCTTCCTCTCTCCTTCTCTCTCAAAATAAATAAAATAAACTTAAAAAAAAAAGAAACACTTTTTTTTTTTTTTTAAAGTATGGGTCTTTTTAACAACCTCTATCTCTTGAAATAGTTTTGTTTTTGTTTTTTTTAGGTAAACTCTACACCCAATATGGGGCTTGAACCCCAAGATCAAGAGACAACCCCTATCTCTTAAGATGTTTTCACTTATAGGGGCACCTGGGTGGCTCAGTTGGATAAATGTCCGACTTTGGCTCAAGTCATGATCTCATGGTTCGTAAGTTCAAACCCTATGTCGGGCTCTGTTCTGATGGCTTGGAGCCTGGAGCCCGCTTCCAATTCTGTGTATCCTCCTTTCTCTCTCTCTCTCTCTACCCCTCTCCCACTCGTACTCTGTCTCTCTCTCTCAAGAGTAAAAACAATTTAAAAAAAAAAAAGATGTTTTCCAGTTTTAAACTTTTTAAAAAATTTTGTTGACTTTGTAGTAAACATGGAGTCTTCACATTTTTTCCCCTAGATTTTTAAAAGGAAAGTTATTAAAAACAAATAAACAGGGGCGCCTGGGTGGCTCAGTTAGTTAAGCAACCGACTTTGGCTCAGGTCATGATTTCAAGATTCGTGAGTTTGAGCCCCACATCGGGCTTTCTGCTGACAGCTCAGAGCCTGGAGCCTGCTTTGGATTCTGTGTCTCCCTCTCTCTGCCCCTCCCTTGCTCTCTCTCTCTCTCTCAATCAAAAATAAATAAAACATTTAAATAAATAAATAAAAGGAAAGTGATAAAGGACAAAATGAAAGACTCCAGGGCAGGGTAACCAATAGATATAGAAAATCTATTTTCTATAGATTTTAGGACAGTTGGAAAATTCCACCAAATTATCCAGGAGACTGATGCTTTCCTTAAGGCTGCTACTTCCTGAGTGGAAGAGTCTGATAATCTTACCTCATCTGCTACGTTCAGTAGGTGAACAGGGAGACCATCTGAGAGGGAACTATCAGAACCACTGGTGCTGTTTCCAGAAGGAAAGAAGAAAGGGAGATGCCTGTTATTAATGTCTAGGACATATACATTTACCAGACTGGCAGCATGGGACTAGAATATCCAGTCCGCTATTTGCTCCCAGTGCCTGCATTTCGATGACCAGCAATTCCGGACAAGCACATTCATTCATTCATTCTGAACACCTACTACGTGCCAGGCAGGGCATCGAGCGCAGAGATGAGCGTGACCAAGCCCTTGGCACCAAGGAGTCTGTAATCCATGTGGCAAAGTAAGTACTGGCCAGGTGGGCAAAGCTGCCCATGGCAGTGACTGTGGGACGCTGTGCAGCTCTAGAGAATAACAGACTATGATTTGTTTGAAAGCGGGGCTCGTTTCATTCATTCCTGTCTGGCCAGGTCCAGTTCAGAGAGCAAGGAGCCTCCGGGTACTCTTTAAAACTGCATTGAATATATACATAAACATATTTGATAACAAGGAATCTGTAGGTCAGAGGCCAGGAATATTACTTTTATTATCTCAATTCCCACTTCAAAAGTTGTGGATGCAGGTCCAGACGGATCTGAAGTCTTCCCCCACAGAGGGCCAGCTCCCCCTTCCTTCAAGGGCTAGGATGAATGAGGACTTGGATTCTCCATCCCTGTGTCCTTTGTCATGTCCATTGTTTAAGCGTCCCATTATACATTCCCCTCTCCCGGGGTGTGCGTGGCCAGAAGCCAGAGCTGGGCTCTAGAACATGGCCTCCATGTACAAAAAAGTGTCTTAGGCACAAAACTCAGATCTCCTGGGAAAAGAGCATTTCAAACCATTCTTTTGCTCAGGCCTTTCATCCTGTTCATGCTCCACCTCCCTCCCTTCAGTCCACAATGAGGAACCCGACGGTAAGACAGCGGGAAGAACGCCCTCTCTTCTCAGATCTAATTCCCAATTCCCTGTTCTCAAAAGGCTTTTCTAGTCTGAGGAATAGCCTTTGAGGTCACTGGATAATAGTCTCTGAAGTCCCTTTTGGAGATAACGGAAAACTATTAATCAACGGGATAAAAACATTAGATGCGGCATGCCACGGAAAATGTTGAAAACCATGGACGTGCACACACAGGGCACACTCAAACTGGGCTTGGACACTCGCAGTCTGCTTTTCTGGGTAATGGTGAGAATGGAGAGGTGGAGACCCATGGAGGCCTGTGATAGCTGGCTTCCTGTTCAGATGCTGGCAAAATGGTTTCAATAATTCTTAACTAAATGTATCTTAACTAAATGTGTCCCTGCTAAGCCAGCTAGGATGCAGTCTCCCTGTTTCTGAGTGGACTGCCCCCGGGCTCGGTACCAACAGGTTGACATGCAGGGGCATTTTGTTTTTGAGGCTGAGATGAAGAGTGGTTCATGCAGTGGTCCTGGAGAGCAAGGCAAAGAATTCTGGAAGAGTGGAAGAGGCAACATGGTGAATGGGGCACACTGCCTGGCCTGATGGTCTGACTTGAGGTTCCTAAGGACACATTTGAGAGACCCAGCCAGCAGAACTGCTTTAGGGCCCAGATGTCAACTCTATGTCCACATAGAGCAGGAAAGAGAGCCTTCGACTGTCCACCACAGTCTACAGCGCAGCCTCTGTCATGTCCAGCCCAGAAATCTTCTGACTGAGGGCAGCTGGGATGGGTATGAGGCACCCTGGCCAGTAAGCTGGAGTAGAAGGTGTTCCTGCCCACCTGTCAGATACTCACCCACCTGGTAGGCTTCCTAAAATAGTTGAAGAGATTATGAGTGTGGGGCTGAGACCTTACAAACTAAATTAATTCAACAAATATTTATTGAGCTCTCCCTATGTGCCGGGTACTCTGCACATGAGATACAGAGGTGAACAAAATAAAGATCTCTGACCTTGTGGGACCTACATCCAGCAGGAGGAAACAGATAATACATAATAAACACAATAGAGATGTAAATGACCTAAGACAGACAGAAGGTGATAACACGCTATGGAAAAAAAGTAGAGTACCTCAGGGGGATAGGGAATAGTGGCAGGAGGGCAAAGGCAGGGGAGCAAGTGGCAGTATTAGAGTAATGAGGGTAGGCCACATTGACAAATTTTACATTTAAACAAAGACTTGAAGGAGGTGAAGGAATGAGCCATGTGGATATCTGCGGGAAGAGCATTCTAGGCGGCTGGGACAGCTAGAGTAAAGGCCCTGGGGCAGAAGAGGGCCTGGCAAGTCTGAAGAAGAATGAGGCCAGTGTAGCCATAGAGAGAGGTGTGTGAAAGGGTGAGGGTGGAGGTTATAAGGTGTCAGGTGGCTAGATCCTATAGCCTGTCAGCCATTGTAGGGTCCTGGTCTTTCTACCTCATTTGCTGGATTCTCCCTATCTTTGTGACCTGTGCACTGTGTACCCTGCTTAGACTTGGACCTCCTATTTACTCGAGCTGCACGTACTCCCTTGGAATCTCACCTAGTCTTAAGGTTTAAACATCATCTATCCAATGATGACTCTATTTGACCTCTCCAGCGAACTACACACTCATATATTCAACTGCCTATTTAATATCTCCATTTAGATGCCTAATAGACGTCTCAGACTGAACATGCCCAACACTAGCCTCCTGACCTTCACCGCTCCCCTAACCTTCTCCACCACCTTAATCTTTCCCATCTCACTTAAAAGGCAACTCCATCCAATCAATTATGGACTCATTCTCTTTCTTTCATGCTCCATATCTCATCCATAAGAAAATCCGAATGTTTGAAACTTCAAAATATATCCAGAATCCAACCAATTCATACACCCCCAACCACTACAACTACTCATGTCTAGACCACCACCTGCATTTACCTGTATTATTGCAAGAGCCTCCAAATGCACGTCCCTGCTTACACCTTTCCTCTCTACAATCTATTTTCCACATAGCAGCCAGGGTATTCCTACTGAAACTAAAACCCAAGTCAGAACATGACACTTCTCTATTTAAAACTTTCCAAAAGCTTTCCGTCTCCCTTGGAGTAAAAGACAAAGGCTTTACAACTGCCTCAAGGCCCTACACGCATGGCCTGCCCATCTCCCTAACCTAGAAAAGATGCTGTCAAAGAGCAGGCACTCAATACGTAGTTGGTGAAGAAATGATATATATTTAAGTGTGCTACGATTTATTCAATATTTTGCACCTTTGGCTCAACCAACAAAACAACAGAGCAAACGAAAACAATAAAAAAATAGAACTTGTCTGGTTTTTCCTTGTGGTTTTTTTTTTTTTTTTTTGAGGGGAGAGAGTGAGTGCTCTCGTACATAGGAGGGAGAGAGAGAGAGAGAGAGAGAGGATCCCAAGCAGGCTCCCACGTGGTCAGTGTCAGCACGGAGCTCCAAACCAACAATTGTGAGATCATGACCTGAGCCAAAACCAAGAGCTGGCCATTTAACTGGCTGAGGCACTCCGGTGCCCCTCTCTGGTTTTTCTTTGAAATGAAATTTCATTTCATTACCTGGATTCAATGTCAGACAAGCAGATGTCACTCCAACTTCCTTCTAAATCCATATCTTGTCCAAGCTCATTGAATTTCTTATGGATTTCTTGTTGTAAGAGCTCTTTAAGCTCTGTTAGGCACTGCATGAACTGTGGAAATCAATAAAAGGACATTTTTGATTATTCACTTATTTATATGTCAAATATTTACTAAGCATATGCGGAAAGGCACTTTATTTATTGCTGGGGACATAAAGATGTGTGAGTGGTAACCTCTGCTTCTAAGGACATGTTAACATAGAAATTACATGAGCTGCAGTAAAAGTGTTTCTCGGGCAGAACATCAGTGAATTGTATGCTTTAGGTGCTTTTCCCTGGCTATGGACAATAACAAACTTCTTAAACAATTCAACGGTCTGATTTATTGTATTTTTGTGAATAGCAAGGAAGGAAACATTAGAATGGGGTTGTTCAGATTTTGGCTTATGGCAGATGTGATATAACAGGCCGTGTTGTGGCTGATTCTCCTTTAAATATTTTTTTATTAAAGGGGCGCCTGGGTGGCTCAGTTGGTTAAGTGTCCAACTCTCGATTTTGGCTTAGGTCATGATCTCACAGTTTGTGAGTTTGAGCCCCCAACGGGCTCTGTGCTGACAGCCTGGAGCCTGCTTGGGATTCTCTCTCTCCCTCTGACCCTCTCTCTCTCTCTCTCTCTCTCTCTCTCACACACACACACACACACAATAAGTAAATAAATATTAAAAATATATAAATAAATAAACTAAAAAAAGAAGTAAGAAGAGGAAAAAACTGAGGACACAGAAAAGGGAGGAGGTAATTAATAAGGCAAGACCTTAGGGAGGCCATGGATTGAGGGGCTGGTGGGTGCACAAAGGGCAGGGTTAGTTTCAGAGAAGGGGAAGAACTCCTGCTTTTCTGGAAAGCAAAATGAGGGAGAGGTGTGCTGAAGGAGGGTAGGCATGAAGGCTTCTATATTCTTGGTGAGTTATGAGGTTGCTATTTGTGGACAGTGTGCAGGCTGGGGGCTTTCTTTTACTGATTATAAAAACTTCAGAACGATATTAAGAGGAAAATAAAGACCACCTATAATCTCAGTAGGCTGACTTTGGACCCATGTGAAACTGATCACAGTAGCACCACCCCATTTCTTGAACCCCATTTTTACCTTGGTTCGGTCAGGATCACAGAAATCCAGAAGGGTGTCACAAACATGATAACCTAGAGACTTTAGATCCTCAGTAGTAAAGTGAGTATCTCTTTTATTGCCTGAAAAAAAAATCCATAAACATTTCTCATTAAATAATAAGCGAATGCAAATCTAATTTATGAATAGCTCCTTAGAAACGCCACCTCTGATTCTAGAATATTGTGCTTCTGGACAGGGTCTTTCTCCTTCTAGATCTGGTTTGGTTCAGAAGAATCTGACAATGAAAAAATTTCCAATCATGATGGCCATGATTACTGAAGTTTTACTCTGTGGTAGGCACTATGCCAAGGGCTTTACGTGCATTAAGTAGTACCTATAATGCAGGTACTATTTTTATTGCCAGTTAAAAAAAAAAAATGAGGTTCAAAGAGTAAATGAAGTAACTGAGCCAGGATTACACAACTTGGAAATGGAGAGGCAATTCGAACCCAGATCTGCCTGATTCCCCATCAAGTATTATATTTGGGGCTATACTGCCCCACCAAGTGTTATATTTTACACTCATATTTAGGTTAGTCAAATTTGGCATAAGGCGCAGTTAAGAAAACTCTCTAGGTCAATCATCTCCCCAACATTCAAAAGGACTTCCTGTCCTCAGAGCTTTGCTTGGCTCCCCCTTGTCATGCTGACCTATGATATACAAAAGAGAGCTTACCCAGTGTGGACCCCCCAAAGGTAGATTCCATGGTGTAGCTGTTCAGGATTCCCATCCGCCACATTACAACTCGTCCTGTTCCTTCTTTGCACTTTTGGACCTTAAAATTACAACTATGAAAAGAGAACTAAAGAGAAACCCAAATCCTCTGTTAATCATAAACTGGCAAATATAAGATGCCAATGACTCATATAAGAATGGTTTCCCTGGGGTCTATATGTTATTTCCTAAAGTATGTTCCATAAAATAGTAATAATTCTAAGGGATTACAGAGGAGAAAATTAGTGCTATGGTCATGTTGGTCAGGAGGATGAGGGGCTAACAAAATTACACAGTCTTCCTGTGCAGGACCTTTTTTTTTTATTTTGAGAGAGACAGAGAGAGCGTGAGTGGAGGAGGAGCAGAGAGAATGGGAGACAGAGAATCCCAAGCAGGCTCCACACTGCCAGCACAGAGCCCAACGTGGGGCCTGAACCCATGAAACCACGAGATCATGACCTGAGCAGAAACCTAGAGTCAGATGCTTAACCAACTGAGCCACCCAGGCACCCCCTCTCCCAAGCATTTCATTATTGTAGACTGTGAGTCTCCAAAGAGGAGAGAGTAAATTCTGTTCCTTATTGCCCGTGAACCCTTCCTTCCCTTCCCTACCTTTCCAGGGACATTTTGCAGGACTAGGGTTCTTTGAACTCCAGTTTGGGAATGCTGGCTTACTTTGGCATTCAAGACACTAGCCACATTTCTAAGATTTATTTTCTACTCCTCTGCAACTTGAGCCCTTGGATCCAGTTGGGTTTATCCTCTATATATGATCTGGGTATGCCTCACCCCTATAATCTGCCTAGAACTGTCTCACTTCCTCATACTTAATGTTCTTGGCTCGGAGTTCAATATCCTCCATTGTCCTTCATGACCACCCCAACCCTCTTTCCTTACTTGGAGTTTGTAATGTACACTTGGCACCTATCCTGACCTATCCTATCCTGCTGAAAATGCTTTACAGTGGGAAGGCATTTCACCACCTAGTGGTTTTTAAGTGGTGCACCCTGGAATCCAGGGGTTCTACTGAGGAGCCTCAAGCATTCCTGCCACAAAGACTGAAGGAGGCAGAATGGGCAAGGTTCCAAGCCTGCCATCCCCCTTTAATTAGCATAGCTCTGTTTTTAATTGTTTTAGATACTAGGTTCTGGATGTCATTTGTTTTTTAATTAAAAAACTTTTTAAAAAATGTTTTTATTTTATTTTTTGAGAGAGCATGAGTGGGGGAGGAGCAGAGAGAGAGGGGGACACAGAATTTGAAGCAAGCTCCAGGCTCCAAGCTGTTAGCACAGGGTCCGATGTGGGGCTTGAATCCATGAACCGCAAGATCATGACCTGAGTCCAAGTAAGACACTCAAGACTGAGCCACCCAGGCACCCCTAATTT